AAAAAAAAGGTCTGTAGCAAGGCATACTGATGTACCCTAAATCCTAGGTACTCCAGAAACTGAGGCAGGAGGATCAAAAGTTTGACACCAACTAACCCAATTTAGTGAGATGTTTTTGTTTGCTTGATTGGGTTTTTTTGGTTAAAGACTGGTGTACCACCGGGTGTGGTGGTGCACCACCTGTAATCCCAGCATTTGGGAGGCTGAGGTAGGAGAATCACTGCAAGTTCAGGTGAGCTTGGGCTACATAGTGAGTTTCAGGCCACTTGAATTATAGAGGAAGATCCCATCTCAAAAAGAATGAACTTATTAAAGAATTATCATTGCCTGTTAGGTAGAATTGTGTTTTTATAGGGACATACTGTGTTATCCTAAAATAGTTAAGGTGAAATGTGTCATATGTTAAAGTGCTATTTATTTAGTTGGCAGAACTGGGGATTGTACTCAGGCCCTTGTGCTTGCCAGGCAAGCGCTTATTCTACTGAGCTGTCTCCTTGGCCCCATAAACTTCTTTTTTTTTTTTAATGTTCTTTAGTTTAAATTTATTTTTTTATTTTTTTAAACATTTATTTATTTATTTTGTGTGTGTGTGTGTGGCCGGCTCAGCCCACCTGGGGGCGGGGCTGACTGGCATGTGGTGCTGGGGGATTGAACCGTGGCTGTGCTTTGCCAAGCTTGTTCCAAGTAGGTGCTTTAGACCACTGAGCCATCTCACCAGCCTCCCCCCATAAACTTCTTTAAAATTTATGTCTGAGACAGGGTTTCGCTATGCAGTTTAGGGTGACCTCAGACTCATTTTGTAGCCCAGGATGGCCTCCAACTTCACCAACCCCCCTGCCTCAGTCTCCTGAGTGCTGGGATTAGAGATGTGTAATACCATGCCCAGCTAAAATACTTTTCTTGGGGTGGGAGTTGTTGAAATAAATCTGCCATGCTGGGTGTAGTGCGTGGTGCATCTGTAGTCCCAACATTGTGGAAGGCTGAAGCGAGAGGACCTCAAGTTCAAGCCCAGCCTTGGCAGCTTGGGGAAATAAAGAGATCTTATCTCAAAAAATAAGGAAGACTGAGGATATAGTTCAATTTGATGGCTTTGGGTTCCATCCCTAGGGGTTTTTTTTTTGATAGGAGTCTTGCTACGCAGTTTGGACTCGTAGTGACCCTTTTGTCTCAAAAGCTTACCTAGTGCTGGGATTACAGGCATGCGCCACTATGCCCAGTTTCAGGGCTGGCACAGCATGCAGTACCAGGGATCAAACTTGGGACCTTGCACTTGTCAGGCAGGTGCTTATGCCGCCAAGTTATCTTCCCAGCCCCCCTACTTTTGTTTTTTTAAGAAGCAGTACGAATTAGAAGTATGCCAAATTCAGTTGTAGTTGTTGGAGTATAAAGGACAGTTCATCAAACTATTTCCTGCTTTTCTGTAGGTTTGAAATTTTCTTTTAACGTATTTGGTGCAGGGTCTCACTGTGTAGTTCAGACTTGTACTGATCCTCCTGTTTTCAGCCTCCACAGTGCTGGGATTACAGGCATGCACCTCCATGCTCGGTCTTGGAATTTTTCATTAAAAAGCTAAATTGCTGTTACACATTTGAATAGTCTTGCCTGTGTACTTATATCATATTTTGTGCTTTCTGGGTGTGATGGCACAGCTAGAATCCCAGTACCCAGAGGTTGAGGCAGGAGGGTCACCCAGAGTTTGAGGCCAGCCCAAAATGCATAGCAAGGCCTTGTCTCAAAAAACAAATTATCTTTGTGCTTGCTTATATATCTGTGTGTTTAATTTCCATGCTAAGGACCAGACGTAGGGTCTTGCAGTACTAGATGGTGGTCTGCCCCTGAGCTATATGTATCTTCAGCCCTATGTTAGAAGATAAAGCCTTAGATTAGCTAGGTAATTTGGTCAAAGATTACCTGTACTCATAATTTTTTTTTTTTTTTAAAGTTTTTTTTTTTTTTTTTTTTTTAAATCATTGGTACATTTTATTTATTTATTTTTATTTTTAAACATTGATTTATTTGTGTGTGTGTGTGTGTGTGGCCAGCTCAGCCCACCAGGGGGCGGGGCTGGCTGGCATGTGGTGCTGGGGGATTGAACCATGGTCCCTCTGCTTTGGCCAAGCTTGTTCTAAGTAGGTGCTTTAGACCACTGAGCCATCTCACCAGCCCCTGTACTCATAATTTTGCTAGCCATTGTTCAACTACTGTGTAGCCTGGTTTTCCCCTCCCCCACCCTCCTTTCCCCTTTGGCTTTCTGGGAGCCCTCTGATTTTGTCTGTCTGGAGCCCTTCGCTTTCTCTCCCCTCTGTTCTGGCTCCTCTTCCTGAAGAGCTCCTTAGCTGCAAGCTCATGGCCCTGTCCTTTAGATGTCCCCCCTCGGTCTCTAGTCTTCATCTGAAGTTGAGCTCCACAGCTCTGCTGCATATTTGTTTCTCCAGTCCAAGCCTTGTTCCCTCCCAGATCAATCTCTTGCCAACCCCACTTGTCACTGAGTCTTCCTTACTGCTGGAAGGTACGATGTCTATACTGGGGTACCACACCGTCCTCTTCTCCTTTTCTCTACATGACTCTTCCATCCTAGTTGGTCCGGCTATTTGCTGGATGTTGCAACCTTCCATCCTCCTCTTCATGCTGCTGCTTCTGCTAAGCACTGTCTGTGTCTTCTGTGCCGTCCACCTGTCGTCCTGCCTTCAAAGCCTAAGTCAGAGCCGGCCAAATAGCTCAGCGGATTAAAGCACCTGCAAGCGGGTATGGGCCAGGGGTTGATCTCCGAGCATGCCATGCAGGCCCCACCCCCGGGGCACGCTGAGACGGCAGTTGAGACTGGGCCTGATGGTGCACCTGTAATCCCAGCTCTTGGGAGGCTATGCACAGGCGGGGCACTACAAGTCTGATATAGTACTTAGACCCTGAACGTGCTATAGACCTTTCCCTAAAATACAAAAAACAAAAACAAAAAAAACCCGAGCCAGCCTTTCTTCTTTTTTTTTTTTTTTAAATATTTATTTTTTTTGTGTGTGTGTGTGTGTGTGTGTGTGTGTGTGTGTGTGGCCAGCTCAGCCCACCAGGGGGCGGGGCTGGATGGCATGTGGTGCTGGGGGATTGAACCGCGGTCCCTGTGCTTTGCCAAGCTTGTTCCAAGTAGGTGCCTTAGACCACTGAGCCATCTTGCCAGCCCCAGCCTTTCTTCTTGAGAGCCTTTTGGCCTAATTCCTGTCATGCGTGTTTTTACTCGGTCAAAATGTACATATGCTTTTTCTTGAGGCGTCACACACTTGATTATTTGCTTGGTTTTCCTTGTGCTTTTGGCTCTTCCTTTCGCTCTCGCTCTCGCTCTCGCTCTTTTTTTTCTTTTTTTTTTTTGGTACTTGGGATCAAACTTGGGACCTTGCACTTGCCAAGCAGGCGCTTGTACCACTAAGCTACATCCCCCGCCCTTAGCTTTCTTCTCTGCTGGTTGCAGGGCCCTCTTCTAGGCCCCCCACAAGCCTCGCCCCTTGGTTACTTTGGTGGGGTTCATAACTTGAGCCTTTTCCACTTCCACATGGCATTGGGCTGGAGCAAGAGACTGCAGTGTTTTCTGGAAGGCTCATGTGCATGGAAAGGAGTGAGCAGGCCTGGACTGGGATGTCGGGAAAATGGTTCTGGAAGGAGGCTGGCCAGGCACAGGCCACAGAAGGCTGGAGTCAGCTCAGACATCAGAGGCCTGAGACTTTGTTTCTTTTTTGAAAGGTTTGTCCGATCTGTGCCTCGATGCCCTGGGGAGACCCCAACTACCGCAGCGCCAACTTCATAGAGCACATCCAGCGCCGCCACCAATTTTCCTATGACACTTTTGTGGTGAGTCTGATCCCTCCATTTCAGAACACAGCAGCCGTATGTTTTCTGAAAAGGGGCAGTAGAGCCCGACGGTTCAGCTTGTCCCTGGTGCATAGCCTTCTGTTCTCTGCAGTAGCATCCTTGCATTATCTGCTCTTGGGCAAGTGGGTAGCCAGAGTGCTAGAAGATGATGTAGAGCTGGTGGTGGTACATACCTAGGGCTGCAAGTTTGACCTCAGTGTAGAAACATGGCAAGACCTTGCTTCAAAAAAGGATGGGGTGGGGGGCCTGGCCCTAGCTCAGGCCTTTAAGTGGCTGCTTCCACAAAGCTGTCAGCCTCAGGTTGCTGGAGTTCAAACCTCACACCTCTCCTGCTGGCCAAAAGTGCCCTGAAGGCATTCGAGGAACAACAACAAAAAAAAAAAAAAAAAAAAGGATGGGGTGTAGGGAGATACCTCAACAGCTGGATACTGCCTGGCACATGCAGGTTCCTGAGTTCCATCCCCAGTACCAGAGGGGCAGGGCCCTGGAGATGTATAGATGCAGGTCAGAAGACCCTGGATTCAACCCCTAGTACTTCCCCCCCCAAAAAAAAATTCTGATCAGTTGTCTAGACAGAGACAGAAATTTGCTCTTTTCTCTCCCCTCTGATTCACATTTTTACCCACATTCTTTTGGTGTAATTTTTGCTTATTACAGAACTTAGACTGGATGCCTCAGGCTCAGATGCCCGTGGGGAATGGGCAAGAACTTAGTTTCAGAAGGATTTATAAGGCAGAAATACAGAGCTAGGGGGTGGGAGGGCTCAGTGATAGAGCACTTACCCAGCATTCAGCAGGCCATTGACAGTACCTCACCATTCAGTACTCCAGCAGGAAATGCAGAATAAGAAGTGACATATCACTGGGCATAGTGATAGACAGGAGGATCCTTGTGTGTTCAAGACCAGCCTGAGCTATAAAGTTGAACTGCATAGTGAGACCCTGTTTCAAAAAGAAAAAAAAAAAAACAAAAAACCCAGATAACACAAATACTGCAGGCCACACAGCACATAGCCAAACACAACTATCAGTTTGTATACTTTCCCTAGAGCTGGATGGATTTGCAGGGGCATTGTTGTTCAGGCATTTAATAGTGCTAAATTTGGTCAGCTGCTTAAACTTCTTATTTAGAGAAGTGTTTGTTCTTAATAGCTGTTTTTTCAGGCTTTAAGAACAGAAGCTTTTTCCTAAGTGGTTATAAAGAGTATTTGTCCTCAGTGTGACACAGTTTGAAACCCAGAATTTGGGATAACTTATTTAGCCTCATTAAAAAGACTGTTCTTTACTGGACGCTGCAGCCAGCGCTTAGGGCACTCGGGTGTCTGTGCGAGGGTTTGCCTTCTACACTCATGAGTAAATGAAGCATGCCAAGCACTTGGTATGTGCCAGACACCATGGCTATCTGGGTCCACAAGCCGCAGTGGAGGGAGGTGGTGTCATTTTCAGTTAAGATGAGGCAGTTAAGATGAAATGAAATCTTTTGCTGGGTTACACTGTTGGGCTCCTGCGCAGAGGGAATGGTCCTGTGAACTGTGGCTAAGGCTGTGTGTCTGTGTTGCCCTCAGGATTATGAAGCTGATGAAGAGGACATGGTGAACCAGGTGTTGCAGCGCTCCATCATTGATCAGTGAGCAGCATCCTTCTGTCCGTCTCCTGCTGTAGAGCTTCCATTATATGTTAAAGTATGAGACCTTTGACTCCTGCACCTTAACTGTACAACAGACCTGGAATTGAGCCATGGCACTGGGACAGAGTCACTTTGACGGGGCATTGGATCTCCCGGGTTGGAGCCCTCTTGTCCACTGGGCTCTTGTCAAAGCTGTCTTCCCCACTGTTCACCTTGTTTGTCACATGACCCAGTCTTGCTGGCT